GGGAGGCCCGCACCCGAAAAAGCAGAGGCAAATGTTTCTGAGGGCCCTTCTCACCTCTCTCCAGGGCAAGGAGGAAATCCCGGTTCCTCTGGAGCTCCTTCATGAACTCTTCGTTCTGCAAGAAGAGCGCGATCCGCTCGTCCTCCAGGTACTGCTTCCAGCGCCGCTCCTGCTCCAGGGAGCCCTGGCCCCGTGGGACGAGCCCCCGCGGTGCGGGCTGCCGGCAGCCATGGGAGCCCTGGGCAGAGGCAAACACAGGCACTGGTTGGTCGGTGGCCTTGGCACGTGCGGAGGCTCCGTGCTGCACCTCCAGCCCCACCGCCATCCACTGCAGCTCCTCCACGGGGTCCCTGCACCCAGCGCCCAACAGCTGCTGCCAAAGGGGGACAGGGCACCGCTGCCTCTGCCCGACGGGAAGGGGGACGGGAGGGAGGCAGGAGGGGATGACATCCCATGTGGGAACGAGGACCAGCAAGGTCTGGGGTCAGCGTGGCACGGGGAGGAACTGGTGCCTCCGGAAGAGCTCCGTGGCAGAGCACAGACTTGCAAAGATTTTTAACTTTAAAAGGTGGGGTTGAGCCAAGACAGAACGTGGTGCGGAGGCGGGCGAGAAGGGTCTCAGCCAGCGTCGCTGCTCGTATTTCCCCCTCTCAAAAAAGCAGAGGCTGCAATTTCCCGCTGACAAACGTCCCTGCACAAGGCTCCTCGCGCTCTCCCCAGCTCCCGGCGCGGTTGTGCCCGGGGAGCAGCAGAGCTGAGCTGTACGGCGCAGCCTCATCCTCGCCTGCAATGTTTGTCTGATTTGTAGCTGCTCTCAGAGACTCATAAAAAGAAAAAGCACACAATTACCGGGGAAAGAAAAGGGCAGCTGCTCCTCTCTTCCCCCTGAGCCCGAATGAATTCGCACGTTCCTATTCCCAGAAAGGCAATATAACCCGCGAAGCTCAGCTTCCAGGGCAGTCATTTATGAAAACACAGCAGGCTGCCTTTGGAGCCGAAAACGGAGCGAGGAGCCGATGCACAGGGAAGGCAGGGTGCCTGCAGCACCCCCAGCCCCTCGCCGTGCAGCAAAGGGGTCAAGCGATGCCCCAGGGATGCGGTGTGCCCGGAGCTGTGCCAGGCACCCAGCGTGGTCTGTGCTGGGGCTGCTCGTTCCCCACGGGGCACTGCCCGCCGCCTGCCCCACGTGGGCAGAAAGGCACCAAAGGCACCTGCAGCCCCAAGCCTTGGGACTCCAAAACCACCATGATGCACACGTGGGCTCTTGACTTTCCAGGGGCAAATCCTCTGCTTTGCACTCGATTTTCCCCCCAAGCTCCGCCGCACTCCCCAGGAGCGTGTGCTGGTCCTGCTGCCCTCTTACCAGGGTAGCAGGTAAGATTTTCAAATAATTTAAAACACAAGTGGCATTTCTGGCACTAACCACTGGGCTAATGGCAGGAAAAACATCAAAGCCTCACTGGAAGATTCCCTTTTTGCACCTTGCCCACTTCAGTCTCGCCTTGAACAATGAGACTTTGGGTTTAGTCCGTGCCCGGTACCCGGGTGCTCTCCGAGCGCTGGCGCTGCAGGCTCAGGGTGGCCAAGGGCCGGGTTTGGTACTCCACAGCACGGCACGGAGCCAAGGCACGGCTGGAAGGAGCGGCACAGCTCACCTGCATGCCGGCAGCCTGCTGGGGCAGGATGCGGAGGAAATCCTCGGGGAGGTTGCCCAGGAGTGGTGGGTTCCAGTTCCTGTAGCGCCCAGGCGCCGGGGCGCTGCCGGGCCCTGGCACGTCCGTCCTGCGGGGCAAGCACAGACAGTGCCTTTGGTGAGGGAGAAACTCGC